CTGTGACTGCACATTGGCTCCGACTTGGGACCCCTGGTAAGAATCCCCATTCAGACTCTGCATGTTCATGAACATGTCCCCAGAATTTGGGAGGTTAAAAGAACCAGAAGAACCTGGAAAGGAAAGAGTTAGGTAGCTGAATAACAGAGAGCTACAAATATACACCCCCAAAGACCTCAGGGCAGGGCAAGGAAGAGAGAGGAGGAGGCAGAGGAAAGGCAGCGCAGGACAGAGCGGCTGGGGCGCGCGGCACCCGCGCTCCACCTCTCCTCAAAGGGGAACGGCCGCTTGCGCTTAATCACTGTGACACTGGCAGAGGAGGACACTGCCTTTTTTTCATACTTTTGTTCAATTAATGTACTTTTTTTTTTTAAACCATGGATCTTAAGAGTTGTCTACAACAAAGTTGGAGCAAAATTTTACAGTAAAATAGTGTCAAACATGCTTGTGCTTTGCAGAAACCTCTGGAGCCCAAGAAAGCTTCTTTCTCAACATTTCCCCTACTAATTGGATGCTCCGAAGTTAGCTGTGCCTTCAGATTTTTATACATAATACCAACCCACATTTAAATTCCAATTACTTCCTGCTAGAATATTCCTCTTTTTTATTCTTACACTGACAATATATTTAACAGCTCTAAAAACCTGACTTGGAGCTCAGCCTTGTTATATTTTATGTTATTTACACTGAATGAGAGAACACTTAAAATATCTGTGTAAAACAAAGGTGCCAGAAGCCTGAGCGGGGCAGACGTGGAGTACGGCACSGCTCGGCGTCCCGCGGCCGCCGCAGGGGCGGGCGCAGCCCTGTGCCCACGATACCTACCAGAGTTYGGCGTGGTGGGGGAGTTTGTCTGGTTGTTCTGCACGGCTGCGGCCACGGCGTGTGCGGCGGTCACGGCCGTCTTGGCCGCGTACAGGTTGGCTTCCTCCTGGAACTTCCCTATGTTCTTCTTGTACCTGATTCTCTTATTGCCAAACCAGTTGGACACCTGCAAGGGGAGAGCGGGAGAGTGAGGCGCGCATCGTGCTGCCCAGCCCTGCCCGCCGTGCTGCGAGCGCTGCCGCCCGCGCCGTGCCCAGGGCACCCGGGCTGCTGCTCTGCACCTGGGCAGCCGCTCCGCGCTCCCAGCCGCTCGCGGTCAGCCGAAAACAGCCACATAAACCAGTAAGGCTGAAGAGTGACCCTGCCACCTTGCTTGGAGGGTCCCGCACGGGCACCAAGCAGTGCAGCCCCTGCGGGGCCGCACGGCGCCAGGGCTAAACCTGCCCTGCTCCATGTGGCTCTGGCTTTGTCTGAACACGATCAAGGAGAAGCCTCGAGCTCTGGCGGCGAGCTGGAAGGTGCACCCTGCGCCTCCGGCTCCCAGGGCACTACTGCTGCATTCCTCGCGCTGCACTTAATATTACCTTGTCAGTCAGAGAGGCAATAATACATTAATGAAACCTAGCAAATAATTATTGTGGACAATCTGATTATGCTTTATTAACAGTTCCATAATTGAGGAATCTCTGTGCATGCAGCACAGTGTCCGCAGAGGTGCGGGGAGCCCTCTGTTTATGCACACCCCTGGACCCATCCAGCAGCAGCCATCACTAATAAAGGTTTATTTAATTCTCACTGTAAAATTTTAATATCACCAGCAGCCTGGGGAAGCCTCAGCGAGTGGATTTGCTTGACATCAGATCGTTTCCATCCTGCTAGTCCCAATACTTCTTAATCTTTAATATCAAGGCAATTAAAATTAATGGCCACTCATCCAGAGCCACTGTGGGCAGTGTTTCCTTGACATCAATTGTTTGATGGGATTACCTAGAGGTTAAACTAACAAGCAGGGTTTAATTGGAAGCAATGAGAGGAGCAGCAATCGTACGTTATGTTTAACCCGCGTACCACATCCCAGCAAATACCCAGCAATGTTCGTGCACGCCCCGCACGCAGGGCGAGCGCCGCACGGCAGCTCCTGCCACGGCAGCTCCCACCACGGCTCCTCCTGCGCGCCTGTCGAGCGGGCAGCGCTGCCCGGGGCTGCGCTCGCTGCACGGGGCTGCACAGGGTGCTCACTCGCTGCACGGGGCTGCGCAGGGTGCTCACTCGCTGCACGGGGCTGCGCTCATTGCATTTCTGGGGCTGCACAGGGTGCTCACTCGCTGCCCGGGGCTGCGCTCGCTGCATGGGGCTGCGCAGGGTGCTCACTCGCTGCACGGGGCTGCGCTCATTGCATTTCTGGGGCTGCACAGGGTGCTCACTCGCTGCCCGGGGCTGTGCTCGCTGCACGGGGCTGCACAGGGTGCTCACTCGCTGCACGGGGCTGCGCTCACTGCATTTCTGGGGCTGCACAGGGTGCTCGCTCACTGCACGGCTGGCGCTGCACGGGCCGCCCGCCTGCGGAGCACACGGGTTCCACCCCACGCAGGGTTCACCTCCGGGGCCATGCAYTCCCATGGGAAGTCGCCTCCGTCGTGAGCGGCCTCATCACACATTTTTCATTAAAACAAACTATCTCTTCACATGAAAAAACAATGAACATCTTTCTCCTCCTGATCATTGAAGGCCAATTAATTAATTGGGCTTAATTGTATATTGCATTTCAAACAATACAGTTGCACTTATTTATCACGTTAATTACGATGTTAAATAAAAAGACAATAAATTATCACTTGAACCATCATGCTGCCTCGTGGCGGGTCGGGCCGGGCCGGCCCACGTGGTGCCGCGGCCCCGGCTACCTCGGGGCATCGGTCAGGACTCGCGCTGCGAAAGCAGATGTCACCGTGGGACTGAAACATCTACGATCGCAGGAATTTTGCCATGGGGGTTCCAAGTTTTCCTAGCATGGTTTATGTTCTGCATCTATTTAGCTGTAAAAAATAGGAAATTCTGAAAATATATGTGGAGCTTTCATAGGATATGTTCTGTGGCTAATCATTTTACCAAAAAGAAAAAAAAAATGCATCTTTTTTGGCTCCCATATGCAGTCAAGGGTCAGAGATCCTAAATCCACAACTCTTCCTGTCAATGTGCTTACAAAAATAAATACAAAAAAGCCTCTCAAAACTCAAAAGAAGTGGGAGTGCAAGAGGAGGCGAAACATAGCCTCTGCATTCTTTTTTAAAGGAATTTTAAACGTATTCCCTTGTCAAGCACATTCTTCTTTTGTTTGAAGCAGTGAAAAATTTTATTGCTGTAATCCACTGACATGCTTTCAGCAATGACTCTGCCCTTTCTATAGCCCGCATGATAGACGGATAGCTGTTCATGACACCCTGAGAGAGGCTCATCTGCAAAAGTATAAAACATCAGCCTTGCAGCCACGGGAAGGAGAGAACAGATGATACAGTTTATCTCCCTCAAACACGTGCTGATCGGGTAGTTCTAAATTACAGCCGACGATGTTCCCCGTTAAAGACATTTTTTTCTCCTAGAATTACCTTTTCCATACTCTTAAAAATGAAATTGTGTGGGGTGTTCATCTTAATAAATAGTTTGTCTTTATGCTTTTCTTGAAAAACCTTCTCTACATATTATCTTAAACACCGATATCAAAACCGAGACCATCTATCTCCTATCTGCAACTAAGTGATTCTGGGAGACAATTTCCTGTGCAGCTCTGTAAAGTGCTATGGCAGCAACATTTCCAGTGAGCTGCTTAATCCAGGGGGAGGGTGACCCAAAATACTTACTAATTAAGTGTTTGAGGGAAAAAATGTTCTGCCATGAATCTGCCCCCAGCATTTACAAGCCACTGACAGTACAAGAAAGAAATATCTTGGATCATCACTAGAAGAGACTAAGGGATGTCTAGCTCAGCTGGAAAAAGGACAAAGCCTCTTCATCAAACACGAACCCAAGCCTTTAGGAGTTGGGAGAGCGTTCCAGTAACAGGTATTTCTTTCATTTTCCAGCTCTTTGTGCTTCCAAGGCCTTTGTAAAGCGAGAGGTGAGCAGGATACAGCACCAGCCAAGGCGAGTGCGAGGCTCTCCTGGTCAAACACTCAGATTTTTCACGAAAGCCCTAAGCCAGGTGCAGCCAGGCCATTCACTTGGATGCTGTTGCCTATTCCAGGCGAAGCTGCTCCTGCCTGAGTTTTAAATGACCGCCTGATTTACCCCCAATTTCTGGATTACATCCTCTGACCKCTGTTGCCAGAGCAGGATGCACTCTCCTACCGTGCCTGCCCAGAGCTTTTCTGCTGGATGGCCTCGAAAACACACACATTTTTCAGGACAAAAAAGAYAACTTCAGCCTCACTCGACCCAGTAAATATCAAGCAGAGCAGCAGTCCTGCCACATGGCCTTTGGAAATGCCTTTGAAAACCAAAGAATAGGATATCTGTAGCATTCACATTTTCCAGCTGTGACAGCAGATCTATCAGGAACTTAAGCAAGCCAGCTGAACACAGTCACTCCCTCTCTCCCATGCAAGCTCCTCTCCCATTACATGATACATTGCCAGTTTTCACGCTTTCCCATCATCTGGAGCTTTTCTAGCAATTTATGATACTCTTGCAAGACTGAAGCTCTGATCATGGTCCCAAATCTGCATCCACGGGAGCTCAAGTCCAGCCTCTGTGTCTAACGCTGTCCTCAGTGTTAGGCTGGAAAATGTCACCCTTCACAACGCAGGGTGCTATAAAGAGCAGCGCAGAGGATGCGATGCAGCTACTCCCATCACTCACCCCGACTTCCTAATGGATTCCAGAAACTACTAATACACACTCCTATCAAATATTAAAGAGACAAACCTATATTCATGTCACAGGCTCACTGCTGCTGCTTCTGATTTGGACCATCTGCCTGCTTGCTTTATTTCTTTCTACAGTGTATAGTGTATACAGTCTTATCAACCAACCAATCAAGAAAGAAATCAGATCCATTAGTACTAGAAACCCTCAGTTTCAGCTCCCCAGATGTTCCATCTCATTTCCTTCAGTCATTTCAGGTRCACCTAGACCCAGCTTTTGTCAGTCCCCTCCTCAGAGTCCCCTTCCCTGCCAGGGGAGAAACAATTTCACCAACCAGGTCTGGAGGGGCCTTGTTCTCTGCCCGTGCAGTGGCTGCCTTTGCCCACAGGGACAGGTTTGAGCACCTCTTTGAGAGGTCCTGCCACCAACTATCCTGAGCTGAGGGCCCCAAACCCGCAGCACGACGCAAGGCTCTGGCCCAGGCTGTAGCTTTCAGCTGGTGCCAGATACCCAAGGCAGCACACAGCAACATCAGTGCGCTCCCTGGAGAGCTGCCCCGCATCCAAAGTCAGCTAAATCACACCAGATTTGGGTCTGCTACATGGCCTTTTTCACAGAATGCTTCACTTAGAAGTCCTCAGTAAAGTCCCTGAGTTTTTCTTGGTTTCAAGGGAGACCTATATAGTAAATCGCAAGTCAGGTGTTAATGATAAAGCTTTTGTTGCTAATAATGCCAGCACTGCAGCCTGCAATCGTTAATAGTTAACACAATCGCCGCAGGCATTGCTCCTCTGGAGGATCTGCAATATTAAYAAGGAAGGAGGTGACAATCCTGCACTCACAAGTGGGCACCAGGGTGCCCAGCAAACTTGGAAACTGTTATTGAACTTGCCTTTCTGCAACCGAGTGACAACCTTTCCCAGAGAGCCAGATTTGCTGTGGGAGTATTTTGGTTTTCTATCACACATACAAGCCACAAGAAATAAATAATAAAAAAAGTGTTATTTTGCTTTGTGAACTATCTGGTGAAGCAAAGAGTGAAGGAAAGGAAAGTGTGATGTAGCAGTGCCTTAGGCCAGAACATCAGAGCGAGAAAACAGTCTGGGGCTGTAAGATATACTGGGGTGTGTATGGGAAAGGAAGCCTKGGCCCACAAAGGTGGGCTTTTCTGATGACAGAGAAACCATTTTCTTCTACTAACCTTACAGTAACGTTTGTTACATGTGATAGCAGGAGTCAATCTGCTTCGCAAGTTCTTGCTTCAGAGAAACCACTCCCGTCACTGCCCTAATACTAAGAAGTCACCTTAGAAAAAAGCTTTCAACCAATCAAACAAATTCTGATCTATAAAAATAGATCATATATTTGTCATRCTTTTCCCTAAGAGAACGGTAAGTTATAATGAACTTATAATGGACAGCAACTATCGGAGCCCCTTGGTGACCACACAGAGGGAAGGCTGCTCCAAAGCGGGACGCTGGCATCGCACCCACGTGATTCCTGTTTCGGCCGTTGGCGGGTTCTTTCTTGGGCAGGACACCCCCAGGCTGTGGGCGCAATGACCCCCAGTACAGCTCAGTGTCGGGCTGCCTCCATGCTGAGCTCTGCTTTCCTTCACTGGCAATGGGTCAAATTCAGAGGCACAGGGACGTCCTGTGACTGGGCGTCGCGGTGCCACCCGTCCCACCGCGCGGGCCCCCGGCCTCCTACCTGCGATACCGTGATGCTGCACTTCTTTGCCAGCTCTTCTTTGGCTTCTTCACTGGGGTAGGGGTTACTGAGATGGGAGTAAAAATACTCATTCAGGATTTCTGTGGCTTGTTTACTGAAGTTGCGTCTTTTCCGCCTGAAAGGGAGAGAGAYAGACGTGCCTGTTAGGGACACGGGCAGCTCTGTGCCGGGGCTGCTGGGGGCCTCGGCGCTCCACAAAGCRGCAGGACCCCCAGCCCCTCCTGCACGAACCGCTGTCGGTGTGAGCGGCAAACCCAACCTGGCCCTAGGAAGGCAGGTCAGTCAGGGCGCCGGGGGCACCCGGGGCGGCAGCAGCGCCGTGTCCTTAGGGAGCCCTYGCTGGTACTAATTGGCTTTCTGGGCTCTCTAATTTGAGGGCCATCTGCGCAAGCCCCTGCTGCGGGGGGCAGGCAGGGACAGGCGGTGGCACCAGGCGGGCCGCGGTGCCGCGCTCAGGCTGCGCGGCTCTGCTCCAGGGGTGCTCCCGGCAGCTCCGAGCTGCGTCACAGCGCCCGSACAGCCCTGCCACCTTCTCCCTGCAGCCTGACACGGCCTCCTCCAGAGAGCCTCCCTTCGGGAGCATCCCCGGAGCCCCTTTCCCGCAGGCAGGTTGCAGTGCAACCGCCGGCGCCTTAGGCTAGCAGGCAGCCGAGCGGCAATCCCCCGGTGCTCTGCTCAGGGGTATCACAATGCTGCTAACTACGCCGTATCCTGCAACAGGCAGCCATCTCCCTAGAGCTCTGTTTATCTCATTACTGCGCTTCCACTCATTTTGCCTTATTTACCTTCCTCCTTTTTAAAGAAATTGCTTTAAAATGTGCATCTGCAAGCTTTACCTTTGCAGTTACTGGAGCTCTCCACAGACATTTCCTCCAACTGTTTGTAATTACCCTAATTTGCCACACCTGCCAGTGACCTCCTTGTTAATAAAATTATTTTGCTCTTGTTTATCTCCTCACAGCTTTCAGGTGTGAAGCCCCAGCTGGTGGCTGGAGGAGGCTCTGCATGGTGCCTGTTTGCACCCCGGAGCCTAGYGGTTCAGCTCAGCCCCTTGGGGTCCTGCGCATGTTCAGGAGCTCTGCAAATTGGGGGAGCTACTGGGGCTGAYGTCCTGGCTCGTTGGGGCTTCCCAGGAAATCTGCAGCTTCCCAGTTCCTGTCTGTGGCTTCTGCTCTTTCCTCACAGCTGCTGGGAAGAGCTCAATACCTGCAGGCAGTTACTGTCCCCTCCTGCCCCATTCCTYTCGCTGCCCTGGTGCCTGATTGCCAAGCGGTGTCCTGGCAAAGGGCAGGGTCCCTCCTGGCCCCTTACCTGGCATCGAGGAACCTAGATCTCAAGATCATTACTGCTTCACAAGTGCTTTGCTTGAGTTGCATCTGGATGGAGCTGAATTTCCGATGGATGATGCCCACCATCCTCTCAATCTCCTTGGGAGAAATGGGACGTGTCCGGCTCTGCTCCCGGAGCAGGTTCATCACGTGCGTAGTGAACTCGTTACATGCCTGCAAAGGAGGGAGAGGCTCAGAACGGTGTCACCGGGTCCCGTGGGGACGGAGGGGGTGCCTGACAGCGTAGGGGAACGTGCCAACCCGTGCGGGCCACCCCGTGCACAGGCTTGGCCGCTTGGAGCCGCGTGTGCCCGGGTGCCGGCTGCGCGAGGCCGCGTGCTGGCGCTCACCCCCTGCACACACACGCAGGCGCCCCGGGGCTCCTCCCGCGCCCGGCGGCCGCGTGCCAGGCGGCGGTGCCTGCGTGGTGCCCGCGCTGACCGCGCCGACGCACACACCGCAGCGCAGAGCTGGCTACAACCGCCAAGCAAGGCCAGGGCACTTGGCTCCTGCGCAGCCACCGCGGCTACGGAAAGGGGACTCGGCAGACACCAAACCGCGTGGGGGAAACAGCACAGATACCTCGTTCAGACCACACACATTAAACSCCTTTGACACTAGCTCCTCTTTTTCTTCTAAAGCTAGGGTTAAAAAAAAAGCCTTTACTATTCGTCTTAACCCTGGATTTTCACGGATTCTCTTGCATTTCAATAGATTGTGTGGGGGAAGGGGTTAAAAGTGAAAAGTTTATGCATCTAAAAACTCATAATTTCCTATAACATTTGCTGAACGTCTCACAACTTATTAAGTGAAGCCATCTATGAATGCAAATGCTGATTAGCAATTTGGCAATAGCCCAACATTCGCAGAATTCACATAGCTTTTCTTTAAACCAGTAGTTCATACATGATTAATTAGAACATCTCATTTATGTAGTGTGCACTTTAGCTCATTACTCTAAGTAAAATTCGTTAAGTATTTACATTTAGATAATTAAAATCTGGGTACACCCTTAAGAAAGATGCATACACTTCAGGCAAAGTGATTTTTTTTCTTTACACTACTGAAAGTAAATTACAGGCTAATTTACATCCTCGCTGTGCCCGCGTGAGCAGCGCTGCGCTGGCCCGGCCTCGCCACGGAGGCGCGGGCGCCAGCCCGCACAACCCTCACAAGTGTTCCTCACCAATGCAGCATCTAAAAGGCCTCCTTCTGAAGCTGAAGCGCGTTTCTGCTCGCGAGAGGCACAGAGCTTTCCTTGTGCTCGCTCGACTTGCTGGCAGCCCCTGCGCRGCTCCCTCGGCGCTCCTCCCCGCGGCATAGGGGCCAGCAGGGCTGCCCCACGGGCGCTGCTGCTGCTCTTGTGTCCTCTTGTTTACCTGGAGCGTGCGAGCTATGCAGCCCCTTCCTCACTGCTATTTTTCAGGCCTCTGCTTGGTGCCCATGACATTATTACTAATGTCAGGCTGTAAGAGGGGGCCCTGTTGACCTGCTCAGAATCCCGGCCGGAGCGGAGCGCACGTCGCTGATTCGGGCTCCTCGAGGAGCGTTGCGGCTGCGGCGCCCTGCTCCTCCCCGACGGGGCGGGCGCAGGCCACATCTGCRTGCTCACAGAGCATGTTCCCAGATGCTCGGGGAGGCCTGGGACCCTTACAGTACTTTTGCCTACAGCAAAAAATGTATTTCAGTGTAATTATAGAAGATAGCTTTCAATATGTCATCTCTACTACAGTAGCTGTAAATTATGGAAAGAGCTGCCTGCGCASGAGCGTTTCTCCTGGCGCTTGGCGAGGGGAGAGCGGTGGATGGCGTGACACACTTTCCATTCCTTTTTTTTTCCCAAGCGCATTCCCCTCGCTGGCAGCAGGCTGGATGCRTCGGGAGAAGGACGTGGCTGCTGCATGGGCAGCGGGGCTGGGTACAAGGCGAGGGGCAGCCGGTGCCGTTCCGCTTGGCACATCCTGTTCAGTGCATCCCGCTCRGCGCATCCCGGAGCGCAGCGCACGCTCAGCGACCTGCAGGCACAGCTGCAAAGTGCTGGCTGCCGCTGAGACAGGCCTGCTCCGAGACGAGCTGGTAGCCGACAGTTGGCTGTGAGGCCAGCGGAATTACCATATTCCAGCAGCGCAGCGTGGCTGGGTGTCAGCATCAGTGGGGAAGCGCTCGTGTTTCAGCTCAGCGCTACCTCCCTTGCTCCCTCCTCGCAGCACTTGAGCATCCTCCAAAGTTTCCTGCGGTGCAGACGGACGGCTGTGACATTTCAGCTGAAACCTCTGTAAACGGAGCTGCAGGGCTGGGAAGGCGAGCGCTTCCCTGGCTCGTTACGCAGATTAGAGCCGGCGGCCTGGTGCCAGGGAAGGCACCGCCGGGAGCGCCTGCCCTAGCGCCTCTGCTCTGCCAGGCCCAAGCCATGCCGAAGCCCTGTGATGCTCCATGCCTGATAAGCTTGAGGACAGTCCCAGGGCAGCGCCGTGGGCCACACGTTTGCCAGGGCTCCTTGGTGGCACTTGGTGCAGGGYAAGAGGCTCTTTCAGGGCATCCCTGGGGTTGGCAGGAGGAGATTTGCCCAGACRGCAGGGAGCAGAGACCTGAGCGCGCCTGTCCACGGCATCATCTGTGTTTCATGGCACGAGGAGGTGCCATGAACTTTCCAGGGCCCCAGTGCCTCTTCCTGGTGCTCAGCAGGTCTCGGAGCGCCCTGAATCGCAGCGGTCACCSTGTGCCAGGAGGTGCYTCCGCAGCGCGGCTCCGCAGCGCCGGGCYCTGCGTGCCGCCCAGCCCCTCRGGCAGTGCCGTCGCCTCCTCGGCCGTGTTCCCACCAGCAGCYGGGGCTGGCAGAGCTGAGCGAGGGCTGCCGCCCTGGGCCTGCCGCCGCARCGACCCCTCATCCAGCACCGCGCGCTGCCCCCGGCCTCCACACGCCGCCCCGACACCTGGTGCCCACCGTGCCCTGGTGCCTCCCCTCCTCTCTGGCACCTCAGCAGCTCGTGCCCACCATGTCATCGCTGCTGCCACCGAGCGGTCGGGCACCTTGTCCGGGCTGTGTGCGCTCCTCGTTCCCCAGCCCGCCCTGTGGCTCTCGCGGCCAGCTCTGTGTCGCAGAAACCTCCTCCTCTCTCCCCCATTGCACTGGCTCTAGGAGGTGACAGCACGGCCTCGGGAGCTGCCTTGCCATGGTCACAACGGGGAACAGCGAGGCATGCAGGACATGCACCGTGTGCCCCGCGAGAGCGGCACAGCGCGGCCTGGCACTGCCGTGCACCGCAGCGCGCACGCRGCTGGGACGGGGACGGGGCACGAGTGCTCAAGGGCAGCACGAAACGGGAGCCGGGGCGGCCGCAGGGACACACACAACTGGGAGAGGCTGATGTCTGACCTGTTCGTATTTCTCCAGCTCTGTGTGATAGATTTGTCTGATCTGGGTCAATTTGGCTCTGTAATCTGAGTGCTCAATAGAGTTATCTGAAGACCCTCCAGAGGCTGCTGCGGCTGCAGCTGCGGCTGCCGATCCCCCACCTTTCTCCGGACCTGAGACTCCTTCTGCCAGAAGCATATTGTCTAGTCTCATTAGCTGGGGATCGGGAGGGTCTTCCTCCTGGGCTCCTCGGATGCTCAAACCTTGGACAAAAGAGAGAGAACAAGAGAAAACACAGTCAGTATTTCTTGTATTTGCCAGGCTGCTGCCCGCTCRCTGCAAAGCCTTCCTCCATCCACACCTCCATCCTCCCTAGCACCTGAGGGCTTCATTGAAAAGTCCTGTCAAGTTCAACACGGACAAGTTTAGTGGGTTTATGGCAATTCTATAGACCTGGATTGGCTCTAATAAAGAATAAGGATATCTTATAGTGCTTTCAAAGGACCTTGCAGAATTTGTAAACACTTTATTGTGAGCACTAAAAGAGCACTCACGTGAGTACAGACATGTGCCTTCCAGTTGGCTTTGAAGACATGTCTAAATCTACACAAGGCTGGCGTTATCACTATACATTATATCACTTTCATGCAAGACCATGTGGTAACAGTAAGTGCATTATTTGTTTGGAAATAATTGATTTGCTTCTCATTTCCTTCCAAATGGATCCAAGCAATACATTATTCTTACTGAGACTCGCACTACTGGATCCCACTCCTGCTGCAGAGCGAAGCGCTGGTTTCAGACGCTCGGGGAGAGCATTGCCRCCCACCACCCTCTGAGAGGAGATTCCCAAATCCCACGGAGCCCCGGCAGGCATTTCCACAYGTGGCCCTGGTCCCGACCTCATGCAGGTTCCCTGGGCTGAGGTTTCCATAGGAGAGTGGCCAGGCTAAGAGCGTACAGCAGGCAGAGCGCCCTGCTTCCTGCGGAGCATCTAGCCAGAGCTGAATAGAGACAATGGGAATCAAACCTTATTTTACCCTTCGGTATCCTAATTGCTATCACAGTGCTGGGATACTAAATACGTGTTAAAAATTGCCAGTGCTGCTGCAGCGTGTTGTTAGGAGCAACATTTTAAATCTAATTTCTGTTTCAAATCGAGAATTTCCAAAGTGATGCTCAGTCAGCAATCTCATCTGCATCCGATAGATCAAGCCTGACAATTTGTAGGTTTAATCAGGTCACCAGGCACAATGCCAAGCTGTTATCAACAACGCCGAAAACAAAGTTTAAAAATAATTACAGCAGCATAAAAATCACTAGAGCCGTGGCTTCCTGAATCAACATTTCCCTGGAAGATGCAGCGCGCGGCGCGCGCCTCCCAGCCCAATTAACCTCCGGGAAGGCGCACGGAGGGCGGCCCCGCGGCGCTGCCGGCACCGCGCGCTGCCCGCCGGCCCCGCCGCGGCCCACCTCACTCTCAGACACGCGTTTCAAACTGTCTTCTCCGCTTAAAAACAGAATTCCACATGGTTTCATGGGAATCATAAAAAAGCCCCATCACCTCTTTAGGGGATTTCTGCTGCCGGTTCAGCGGTGCTTGGGCAGGGCAGCGCTGCCGGGGCCGGCCCAGTCCTGTGTGTCCTGCAGCGCGGGGGGCTCTGCCCCGCACTCCCCTGCCCTCTCCCACCGCCCGGGCATCTCCTCCCTCCTCCGCCCGGCTTCCAGGGTCTGTAAGAGCAGGAAAGTTTCATCCTCCCCTGTCCACGTCCCCTTCTCATGACGATTTCTATGGTGACTTCTTCGTTTTGCTTCTGACTGCCTCTCAGTCCTGGTTCCCTATGCTCTGTTCCAGCTGTTTCCCCAGCTGCATTTCTGCCACGACAGCCATTCCCCCTTCCAGTATCACAGCACTGCTTCCACTCATCTCCCCTGATGCTAAGAGATGCCAGGCCAAAATCTGCAGCAAAATCATTTGGTACATTTGCTGTGATTTCTAGACCATTTACTCTTGTGTACTGGCCAAAGATTAAAGGCTTTTGCTCAAAATCACACTATCCATTCAGGCTTAAATTGCTATTCAAAATCCCCAACCCTTCTCGMGTAGCTCTGACAAAGGACAGCAAAGACTCTCCAAGGTTTAGGTGTGAAAGGTGATGGCTGCAAAGGAGACCCAGGAGGCAGCGGCAGGGAGAGGCTGAAAAGGCAGAGCCGGGTTGACAGGGGGCAACAGCAGAGCCACGGGGTGTCCTGCGGATCTGCACRGGCTGGAGGAACCGGCCCGCGCCAAAGCAGGGCGGCCACCCTGGCCAAAGGGCTGCGGCCGCTGCAGGAGCACGGGGAGCTCCTGTGCAGGAGCATAGGAGCCTGTGTGCAGGAGCACGCGCCTGCACTGATCTCATGTGCAGGAGCATGTGCCCATGGGCACCTCGTGCACAGGAGCACACATGGAGACCTCACGTGCCCGTGCACGGGGACCTCACGTTTGTCTTTGGAACGGCAAAGGCCCAAGCTGATTGACGGATTCTAAGGAGAAGGGAGCAGTGTGTTAATTCAGAGCTGCCCTTACGCAGCGTGCGGCGGTGCCCGGCACAGCGAACAGGSCCCTGCTGCCCGGCCCGGCGCGGAACTGCTGAACTGCCCGGCCGAGCGGCCAAAACCGCCGAGGAGCAGCAGGACAGGGGCGGGCACGGAGCCCCCCGCCACCGCGCAGCGCGTTGCCTCCCGCACCTGCCCTTAGCAATGACTCTGCGTTCAAACACGCCCATAAGATATGTATTTTTTGACATATAAGCTAACACTTGGTGGCTATTGTTTCCTCTTGCACGCGGCAGTCTCTCAGGCCAGGGCTTTATTATGTTTAGCTCAGTGACCTTTCAGCGCGCGGGGGGACGGAGGTGCCCGGYGCCCGCCCGCGGCTCCGCACCCCGCGCTCCCCACACGGCTTGAGAGCCAGTCTCCTTGGTGACAATAGCACGTTATAAGTTAATAAAAAGCATGTGTGCTGCTGATTTTAATCTGCTTATGGCTGCAACGTTCATTTCAGTATCTCAATGATTTAGACAAATCACATAAACAGACACTAAAACATTGTTTAACGATGAACTTGGCTTTGTTGGAAGACCACAGTTTTAGCATATCTCTCGGCAAATCCTAATTAGCTGTCTTTCAGCACGCTGTGCACCTGCCCCCACGCATAATAGGCGAGAGCATCTGCATAGACTACTGCATTCAGAGGCCAATAAATAAATTGCAGGTCAAAATTATTACAAAGCTTTCTTCGAATAAACCCATCTCCTTCACAATACAAATCTGCAGATATGAAAAGTACCTAAAGCCCACTCAAATGGTATGATTACAGGGGCCGTTGGAGTTTAATAATCTGACTGTAATTCAGGCATTTTCAACAGCTCATTAAGGGTTCATTAATATATGGCCAGGCTTTTGAATTATAAATAAGCAGATTAGAAACCTGCAGTGCCTGAACTGTGCAGCAGTGCCCAGGCTCACAGAGTGATCCTGCGAACAGGGTGTCGGGCAGGCCAGGAGAGGGGGCAGAGGTGACCAGGCACACTCGCTTCGGCTCCCTTCGGCTCCCTTCTGCTCCTCTCAGCTCCCTTCGGCTCCCTTGGCTCCATGCACGCACTGCACCTTGCGCACTGTGAGCTGGACTGTCTGCAGCGCCAGGGCTTGCACAGCCCGTCCTGCAGAGAGCACCGCTGCGATGCTGCTGTGCCTGTCCTGCAGAGCAGTGCTGCAATGCCACGACGCAGCAATGCTGCCGTGTCCCTCCTGTGCAGGGCCATCCCGCGATCCCACTGTGCCATCCTGCACAGGGTGAGGCTGTGATCCTGCTGCTCCGTCCTGTGCAGAGCAATTCCCCTGCGTCCATCCCGTGCA